ACACAAAGGTAAGTGGGATTCCGGCAGACTATCCTGAGAGACCTCTTCATTCAACACTCACTTGAAGATTTTATGCTGAGGCCAATCATGCAATTCAAGCTGAAGAAAAAAACAAAAAACTGTGCAGCAGCAAGTTCTAAATTAAACACAATCCTCTTCAGTTTTGTACTGAGAAGAAACATCCAACATGGGAAGGTATAAAAGGCTGGACCTGCAATAAGAATGCTAGAGCTTTTCAGTGAACTCCACCACCAATTAAGCTCATGACATTCATTGAATCCAATAACCTGTTCCTCAAGGCATTTCCCTTATCCCATGTATAACAAATAAATATAAAGTTATTACTTTCACTTTACAGGATTGAATATAATACTCCCTTTTCTCAATCCCCGTACCAGCAGCAGACTGTCTTTCAAGATACAGTGTAAATACATATGTGTTTTTTTTTTTTTCATGAACCCTTTTCTGACTTCCCTCCCCTTTCCAGAAAAAAAAAAATATTCTCTTCTTGGTATTCCTACATTAATCCTGTGCAGAGGTCTATCATAGCACTAAAAGATGGCATCTTATTTCCTTATATATTCATTCCCCATTTCATTTGGTGTGTTTGTTGAGGCAGAAAAATCATATCTCTTAGTATAATCTCTAGCCTATAAAATGTGCTCAATAAATTTTTTGTCAGATGAGAGAATGAATCAATGAATGTGCTTCCCCAGAATTCAGGGGTGAGAAGGTAGATTTGGCAGAGGATTAACTTGGAAGTGATGCTGAGTGCAGGAGAAACAGCTAAAATGTCACAACCTTCAGTACTCTCTTCCTGGGTGTGTTCCCTCTCTTTGGATCCATTTATTTATGCCTGAACTGAGTGAGGCAGGGACTGGATTCCTGAAGCTGTTTTCTGCTCTAACTAGCCTTCGAGCAGCATTTAATCAGTCTTTTCATGCTTTTTTTTAAGAATCCTTGACAAAGAAAATCAAATCACCTAAGGATTAGGAACAACAAAGGAATGTAGTGGTAGGCAGATGAGTCCAGATGTGATTAATTAATAGATAAGCTAGCATAGACTCAACTATGAAGGGGGAAAGAGAAACGATCTTATAGAAAAAATTTCAGGCATTTATACTACTTAAGATATCTAACTCATTTCTCTAAATGGAGTTTAGGTATTTTAGGAAATTAGGTTTGGTGAATGGGTTAGTTTAAAGGTAAACAGAGAATTTGACATTCACACTTTCCTTCTTGATTTTGAATTTGCTTAGAGCAGTGGTCTACAAACTCATTAGTCGACAGTGCCAAATATCAACAATACAATGATTAAAATTTCTTTTGAGAGCCAATTTTTTAAAACTGAAACTTCTTCTAATGCCACTTCTTCAAAATAGACTCGGCCAGGCCTTAGTATTTTGTGTAAGAGCCACACTCAAGGGGCCAAAGAGCCCCATGTGGCTCTCGAGCCTCAGTTTGCCGACCACAGGCTTAGAGCAATGGGGTTCTCAAAGTCTGGTCCCAAACCATTAGCATCAACAGGGAATTTGTGAGAAATGCAAATCTTCAGGCACTAATCCATTCATATGGAATTTGAAACTCTAAGAATGGGGCCCATAGACCTATATTTTAATAAGCCTATTCAGTTAATTCTAATACATGCATAAATTTGAAAACCACTTGCCTTAACCAGGCTAAAAGGTGATTTTAGGGAAGACTACACATAAGGAAGATTCTACATAGTTGACCAGGCAATTTAACTGAGTTAAAGACAAACTTAATATTAAGGATAAAATTAACCAAAACCGGTTTGGCTCAGTGGATAGAGTGTCAGCCTGCAGACTGAAAGGTGCCAGGTTCAATTCCGGTCAAGGGCATGTACCTTAGTTGTGGGCACATCTCAAGTAGGGGGTGTGTAGGAGGCAGCTGATCGATGTTGCTCTCTCATCGATGTTTCTAACTCTCATCTCTCTCCCTTTCTCTCTATTAAAAAAATCAATAAAATATATATTTTTAAAAATAATAAAATTACTAGTAAGGCAAAATAAGTAACAAGTCTAAATTTAAAACACACACACACACACACACACACACACACACACATGAATCAAGGATTGACAAAACTGCATTAAAGAATAAAGAACATCAATGCACAAGTTATTCTGTTAGGGCCAAAGCTAAATGTAAAGAGCATTTTCATGTATATTCTTATCTCTATCCCTGTCTCATTACCGGTGGTCATAACCCTGATTGCTAAAATCACTTCAACCTGAGATGCTAGGATCAATCTGAAAACACAGAAGGGGCACTGATTTGACTTCGGCTGCTTCCAGGTGAATATGGCATTGCCAGAGAGTTGTCTAGTAAATTGGAACACAGAGAGGAGTAGGAGAGGTACCAGCAATCAGTCTAGAGAGGCAGGTAGTCTAGAGAGGCAGGTAGATTCAATTCACCCTAAAAACAAAGAGAAGCATCATCCCCCCAGAGTTTTACATACATAAATCTATAAAAGTAAATTTTTAAAAATCTGTAAACATATAAAAACGGTTGCCAGGTATAATACAAGACATCTAATTAAATTTGAATCTCAGATAAACAATGAGCAAATTTTAGTATAATAATATTAAAAGTATTGCATGAGAACTACTTAAGTTATTTATTGTTTGCATGAAACTCAAATTTAACAGGGTGTCTGGGCTTTTATTTGTAACCCTAATATAAATGAAGTATTTATCTGAGGATTACCTTATGTTATAAGCATATATAATTTTTCACAGTAGATATTACCCTTGAATTGTGGCATAATAAAATAATACAATGTTATCTTTAATCAACTGACTTTTTAAATATTTTGGACACCTAAAGTGTATAAAGCCATTGGAAAAAAATTTATGCATTTTAAAATCAAGCCCATAGCTAATCCTTTTTACAAATATGTGATACTTATACACTAGTTTTAAGTAACAGACCGTATTAAAATGGTTTCTGTTCCCATTTATATTTTAGACCAGGTTTCATTTCCATTATATACCTAATATATAGAGATCACCTCCTAACACACAACTTCCTCCAATTTTACCAGATATGAGTCCCAAGGAGACCTCTCTCCACCTATTCAAGTGAAGCCCAATTTAGCATAATGGTGACATTATAAAATTCTGGTTACTGACTCCTTGTGGAATTTTCTTTTATGCTTTCCTTGAGAACATACTCTTCCATTTCCTAAGAGAAATTTGGTTCCAGAAACACACACATACACACACACACACACACACACACACACACACACTCAAATACTCAATTTGGAAGCAATTTCTTAGAGAAATATATTCCTAATTAATGCCAGATAATCTTATGAAGAAAATGCAAGCAGAGAAAGTAGTTATCTACTCTAGGTTTTGTTTGATAACGTGATTTATTAGAATAGTGTGGTGTGACTGAATAAATGGATAACAAGTCAGAATATTTATAAGCACAGTGGCACGTTTGGTTTCTTGGTGCCTTATTTGTGACACTGACAGACAAACTGAGGCTCAGTCATGCTGAGGAGGAAGCTTAATACTAGGATAGGGCATGCAGAGTGAAGGGAGGGTAACAACAGTTATGAAACTGCTAACTTTGCTCTTTTCACAGAACATTAGAACTAATAAAACCTTTAAAATCATCAAGCTCAATACCTTTCTTTTAAGTTAAGACTGTCAGTTTAAATTCAGATACAAATTTCCTGAGATCATGTAACTGACAGAAAGAATACAAACCTCCCAAGACCGCACTCAATCACTTTGCTGCTATTCCGTAAGAGCTCACGGCCTCCACCTATTCTGTAATCAAACATGTATCAGGAGAAGAATGGCTGCCTATTGCCATATGTACCAGGTGTACCAGTTAATAATGAAAAATTTTTTTCAATAGATGAAGTTAAATGTTGATATATATACAACTTGATATGTATACTATTTTGTTGTATTGACAGCAAGCTTCAAAACTTCGTATGTCCAATTTGCTGAAGGTGTTAACATCCTAGATATTTTTTAAGCTTAAAAATGCCAAATTTTGTGCCCCCCAAAAAAGAGCATTTGCAGGAAGTTTTAACTCATTACTTTATTTGGAAGGAAAGTGCTGCTGAAAGTTATCGTATTCTTTAGGAAGCATATGGTGAACATGCTTTATATCAAGATACTTGTGAATGCTAGTTTAAACGCTTTAAAAGTGATCATTTTAATGTGAAAGACAAAGAGCATCCAGGTCAACCAAAAAAGTTTGAAGACCAACAACTACAAGCATTATTGGATGAAGATATGTGTCAAACTCAAAAACAACTTGCAAAAGACTAAATGTTGCTCAGCAAACAATTTCTGATCATCTACAAGCAATGGGAAAGGTTTTAAAGGAAGGAAAATGGATGTCACATCAACTGAATGAAAGACAAATGGAAAACTGAAAAGTCATCAATAAAATGTTGCTTCAATAGCACAAAAAACCTTTTTTTGGCATAGAATTGTGACTGGTGATGAAAACTGAATTATTTTGAGAATCCTAAATACACAAAATCAGGGTTGATTCAGGTCAACCATCAACATTGACTGCAAGGCCAAATTGCTTCATAAAGAAGACAATGCATTTATCTTCTGCCTTTGGTGGGATCAGGAAGGTGTGGGATATTATGAGCTTCTAAAACCAGGTGAAATCATTAATACTGATTGCTACTAACAAACAATCAATTTGAATAATGCTTTGATCATGAAATGACCAGAATGGACCAGAAGAAATGGCATAGTCATTTTGCTTCATGATGAAGCACCATCACACACTTCAAAACCAGTTAACGACATGTTAAAAGATCTTGCCTGGGAAGTATTAACCCACCCACTGTATTCACCAGACCTTGCTCCTTCAGATTATCAATTGTTCCAATCAATAGCACACACACTTTCTGAGCAGCACTTCAAAACATACGAAGAAGTGGAAAATTGGGTCTCTGAATAGTTTGCCTCAAAACAAGAAAAGTTCTGTTGGGGCAGTATCCACAAATTATCTTAAAGATGGGGGAAATGTGTAGCTAGTGATGGACATTACTTTGAATAAAGTACTTTTGATGTTTCCTTTGAAATGATTGTGTTTTCTTTGATTACAAAATGTGCTTTATTCACCAGTACACCTGGTAAAGTTTCTTGACACTTGGCCTCCTGTAGTTGCTTCTTATACTAAGGAACATTGTACACAAAGGCCAGCAGTGTCTGTGGAACAGAATAATTATTGTGACTCTTCTCTATTTTAATTTTCAATAGTATATAATAAATAATCTGAAGTTTTTAATCAGAATTGTACAATGTTATAACATGACCCCTCAATATTACTGCCTCCAGTAAATATAAGTCACCTGATAAGGTTATTGGAATTTCATACCAAAGCACCATTATCAGTTATTGTTCTGAGACTTAAATTCCACCAATTGCATCCACAGCTTGGTGAGGACATTGTTGCAATATTTCAAGCTGTGCCATTTTTTTTTCAATGCTGTCATTTAGAGGATTTATTAGCAGGCATGTTTTTCAAGATCATCATGTGCAGAGGTCTTGATGAAGTTCTCCAATGGGACTAGAGACTAAACCAAATTGACAATTTATAATGGGCTGAGAAGAAGTCTTGGCCAGAGAGATTGCATCAGTATGTGTCATAGAAATGAAAGCCACAACTTCACCTATGAATTCTGCTCCCAATGCAGGCAGAATAGTATTGGCATCAGTAAAACTCTGAAAATGCATGTCCTATAATACCTACAGATCCAGTCAGACATATGAATTTTTACTTAGATTCTGGAATCTCCACTTACATACATATTCTAGCATATAGGTTTTGCAAATGAATGGCCAGTGATATTATACTGTGAATCTGAATGAAGTTTAAGATATGCCTGGCAGTTTTCATGGCCTCAGGTGATCTTGAGTCTTTGTGTGGCAGTGAATCAAATTCAGATTGTTCAGGCTAAGTTACCTCAGGATACTAATGCATTTAATGGAGACTTGGACCAATCAATCAATAAATGTATATAACTTATAGTTTATAATAATTTGTAAGGCTACTTTTCACAAAACTTTCTCACAAGAATCCTGGCTAGAGTTTTTAAGGCACCATGTACTCTTCAAGTTTACAATTACAGACTTGTTTTTGGAGGCTTAATATTCATTGTGACAGCTTCACAGATGTATGTGACGTATGATGAAAGATAAGTAATTCAAAACCTTCTTGGGAAGGAATTAAAATACATCAAAAAATGATAATCATTGGTACCAGACTGATATTGCTGAATGGTTGAGCATCAGCCTATGAACCAAGAGGTCATGGTTTGATTCCCAATCAGGGCACATGCCCGGGTTGTGGGCTCGATCCCCAGTGTGGGGTGTGCAGGAGGCAGTCAATCAATAGCTCTCTCTCATCATTGATGTTTCCCTTATTTTTCTTTCTCCCTTCCTCTTAGAAATCAATAAAAATATTTTTTTCAAAAATTATTCCATTCAAATAAGGAACTTGCATTAAAAACCCTGTAATTGTTTTATGCAGTACATAGAGATGTATGGTAGATAAGCCTAAATGTTTTATTACATGAAGTTTTTTCATACTGATTTCATATTTGTTTTAGAATATATAAATCAGACCCTCTGTAAATAGTTTTGCAAGAAGATGGAAGTTTGAGAGGCCACAGAGTTAATATGATTTTAAAGAAGCAGTGTCTTGACAAATTTGACCTAAATTAGAGCTCCTTTGATTGAACAGTAACTGAAATATTATGGGAACTACCTTAAGCTCAGAGGAAAGTTTATTGGAAAGATGCTGAGAAGAGTTGTGCTCTGAAGAGTCTGGGGAAGATTCTGGCACTGGATAGGTCTAGCTGAGAAACTTCCCATCTGTCACATGTGCGCCCCTGCTCATTGGTGTGCTCCTTCCTGTTCACTTGCATTTCTCCTCAGGCACACAGCACGGTATAACCACCATTTGCATCTTCTATGTCTGGGGAAAAGAGTGTTTGTTAGCCCTGGATCAAAGTGTTCCCAACTTTAACACATTCCTGGGAGTCATTAAGTGTCATAACTCATCCTAAGATATACATTGATCATTTCTTTAAAATTCTCTCTTTTTAGGATAGAAATATTGCCTTGATTCTGTCTTCTGACATGGAAGGCTAGAAGAGTTTAATGAAGCTTCTCTTTCAGTCTTCAAGTGATATATGACATTTTGTCTCACTGTTATATTAGTAAGGACAGAAACAAGATGGTTATATGTCATGGCTGTGTTCAATTTGGATAATGTTATAGTTTTGTAAGTTATCAGTACAGAGGCTAGATTTGAGATAACCTAGAATAGCTTTATAGAAATATCAGGCTGTCTTGTGAAAATGCTCTATTCTACCTTTACTAGTGACCAACATTTACAACCCAAACTCCAAATCCTTTGTGGCAACAAAATGGCAGGAAAGGGGCTTTGCTTATTGACTCTTATTTGTAATAACATTTATAATCTTTAATGCACTACCTAAATTTGATCTTCTTGGTCACTATATTTTGATAACTTAATAACCACACTTTTCAGATAAAATAAAAAATAAAATCAGATTTGTACAACACTTAATGTATTTTCCTCCCATTAAGTATACATGTTGGTGGAATAAATAGGAAGAAGAGTTGTATTTATAGCTAAGACAAGTCATTGAGTTTTATAGAGTCCATCCTGATGCCAAAAGACTAAGTTAAAAGCTATCAATTTTCATATAAACTTCAATGACTATTCAAATCAATATATTTTGGGGCACAATTATGTACCTAACTAATTCACACAATTTGGCCTTCCTGTCCAAAGAAATCGCAATATAAGAAACATACATGTGAGCACACATTTCTTTCAATAGTTTTGATATATAATATATATATTTCAGAGAGGAAGGGAGAGAAGAAAGAGAGAAAAACATCAGTGATGAGAGAGAATCATTGATTACCTTCCTTTTGCATCTGGGGATAAAGCCCATAACCTGAGCATGTGCCCCTGACCAGAATCAAACCTGGGACCCTTGAGTCCACAGGCTGATGCTCTATCACTGAGTCAAACCAGCTAGGGTGACTTATTTTTATTGATCCATTGTTAATATAAAATATTCTACTTGGATGTAGCCAAATGAATCTATGGAAATAGGTTTTTTTGAAAGTGGAATGTCCTTCAGAAATCTCATAGACCAACTTTGCCATTTCATAGTTGGAAAAAAATGAAGTTCAACACCCAAGGTCACACAGTCATTGGCTCTTAGGTTTCAATTATTACTTTGCCTCATAGGTAATTTTTCTCTAAATATAGGAGGGGGCAAAAGTAGGTTTACAGTTGTGATTACATGAAACAGTTTATCCTTATATTATCATTAATTAATTATTGTATATCTATCTTATATAATAAAAGGGCAACATGCAAATCAATCAAATGGTGGAATGACCTGTTGCTATGATGTGCACTGACCACCAGGGGGCAGACCTCAATGCAGGAACTGCCCCGGGTTGTCATGCACTCCTACAGATGGAACTCTGCTCAGCCAGAAGCCAGGCTGATGGCTGGCAGGGGCCGCGGTGGTGGTGGCAGTGCTAAGGATGTTCAACAGAGAGCCTAGGCCTACTCCCCACATAGTCAGACATCACCCTAGGGCTCTGCTATGCTAATTCAAGAACTTTAGAAAAAAACCTTAAGAACATTAACAAACACCTTCTCAGCTAGTTCTGATAATCTGCACATAGAGCATTGAAGACAACAATGGTTAACTTGTAAAGGAACTATATCTAAAAATATTTCACATGAGAAAATATATTAATGTCAATATCTCCACATGAGTTTAGTATGTTTTCAAAACAGAGTAAAATTTAAACATTTCAGGGCTTGCTAACTCTAATGCTTACAAGAGCTAAGTTGATAACCTACAGCGAGGCAGGTGCAATGCCCTAGTGAGTACAGAGGAGGTGAGAGTGGGAAAGGACAAGCTCTGTCTATAAGGGCAGCTGATACTCAGCTCAAGTCAATCACTGGCATAAAGGAATGTAGACCCTGAGTGGCCAAATTTCTAGTAATTTACAATAACTCAGACATTTACTAGAAATCTCCCGGTTTTTAAATGGTAACAACTGATTCAATACAATTTTTATCCAGGCCCAGGCATATCTTTAGTCTATATAATACCTGAGGACTGATTATGCATGATGTTTGATTTAAAGTTACTATTTAGCTAAAATTTTGTGAGTTGTGTAATTTTTATAATAGATTTCATCTCTTAAAGGAAGATATTTAGAATTATAGTCATTAACTAATTCTAATCCAGAATTTCTCTATTTATCTTCTTGGAACTTCCAATCTTTTGCAACAATAATTGGTCATCTGTATTGTGTCACATCAATATAATCTATATTTTTATCTCACTGATATCTCACTGATATATATATTTATTGTTTTTAGAGAGGAAGGGAGAGATAGAAACATCAATGATGAGAGAGTCATTGATTGGCTGCCCCCCTCCCACCCCTTACTGGGGATTGAGCCGGCAACCTGGATATATGTCCTTCACCAGAATTGAACCCTGGAAACTTCAGTCCTCAGGCTGGTGCTCTATCCACTAAGCCAAACCGGCTAGGGCTATATTTCACTTTTTAAAGATAGAGAGATACCTTCAGATTTGCATGAGTGTGTTTGTGTGAACATATATAAGAACTTTTATTTTTCCTAAAGCAGTGTATCATTGCCACCCATTCAACAAAAGAACTCAATCCTACCTGATAAGATGAAGCTATCTGCTCATAGTTAACATTAAAAAAAAATCAAACCACTCTGGGCTTATAAAATACATGCTTTTGCAATATCCATGTTACTTAATAAAAAATCACCTTATTTTTCTCAGCACTAGGCATTACAACACATAAAACCTCTTCCCAGCTTGAATAAGCTCATAATCCCATTCAATTTTATGTGTAAATGCCTTTGGCTTCATCTCATATGGTTTATTATGATTTGAAATGAAGTTCAGAATTTTACCAAATCCCACATAATTAGAAATTACTCCAAAAGAGAAAGCGGAATTCTGTATTGTATCAGGACATTAAGTGAATCGCACTGTCAGTTCTACACTGTATTTCCTGGCCCTTGTCACTAACAGAGTTCAAAATGTCTTAAAATAAGTAATGTTTTAAGTTTTGAACATATACAATATTGTTGAGACAACGTTACTTTCTTTAAGTTTTCTTACAAGTGAGGGGGGGAGGATATGCACAGAAAGGTGCTATAATGTGATAATTGCCTTGCTAGCTATGAATGTTACATTCTGCTAAAGAGGCAAGATCCAGTCCAAATGGAGAGACAAAAAGTCCTCAAAGAGGAGGGCAGATTTTAAGTATATACGGAAGAATTCTTAGGATTGGCAGACATGACTTGTGGGAGATAGGTAAGAGGAGAGAAATTCAAAGAATAAGAAAGAAGAAAATCGAGGACCTACGACCCACATAGCTACCATTTAGAATCAAAGAACATATAAAGAGCTTCCCAGACAAGAAAAAGCTACAGAAGTTCATCAGCACCAAGCCAATATTATACACAATGCTAAAAGGTCTTCTTTAAGGAGAAGAAAAAAACAGATTAAAAGTATGAACAATAAAATG